TATAAACTGCTTCTCGGTCATCCAATTGAATACAATGGTAAACCCGGTTTCGCAAAGGAAGCTGGGGGTAGATGATTTATATAAAGGGAAGTTCCTAGAGAATCTTATATTCTTAAGGATAACCCAAAAATGCGACTGAGGATAACGTACTCCTCGTTATACCCAGTTTTGCAAAGAAAGCTGGGGTTTGATAATTCATGTAACGGGAAGTTCCCGGAAGAATGTTAAATATAATATTCTTAGGGATAACCTGATTATTATGAACAAAATGATAAATACCAAACTCCTATTATAATTTCCAAATATTCTTTGGCTGAGATGAGATTCGATCACTTCGTTGGATTAATCTTCCCTCTCACGAGAGGTCCACAAATTGAACGGTCAAACCTTTAAATAGTTATGATCGTCTCAAATTCCCATTTGGTCAAACCTTTAAACAGTTAGGACCAAAGCTAAAATCCCCTCTCGATTCGTTCCATGAACGAGAGGTCCACAAATTGAACGATCAAACCTTTAAACAGTTAGGATCGTCTCGAATTCCCATTTGGTCAAACCTTTAAACAGTTAGGACCAAAGCCAAAATCCCCTCTCGATTCGTTCCATGAACGAGAGGTCCACAAATTGAACGATCAAACCTTTAAACAGTTAGGATCGTCTCAAATTCCTATCTTGGTCAAACCTTTAAACAGTTAGGACCAAAACCAAAATCCCCTCTCGATTCGTTCCATGAACGAGAGGTCCACAAATTGAACGATCAAACCTTCAAACGGTTAGGATCGTCTCAAATTCCCATTTTGGTCAAACCTTTAAACAGTTAGGACCAAAGCTAAAATCCCCTCTCGATTCGTTCCATGAACGAGAGGTCCACAAATTGAACGATCAAACCTTTAAACAGTTATGATCGTCTCGAAATTCCCATTTTGTCAAACCTTTAAACAGTTAGGACCAAAGCCAAAATCCCCTCTCGATTCGTTCCATGAACGAGAGGTCCACAAATTGAACGATCAAACCTTTAAACAGTTAGGATCGTCTCAAAACTCCCACTTGGTCAAACCTTACTACAGTTAGGACCACAACCAAAATCTCCTTTCGATTCATTTTTGCGAACGAAAGGTTTACTTTTGAATTGAGTAATCAAACCTTATGACAGTTAGGATTATTCAAACCAATCCAAATTCTCTAAGTGGAGATCCCACTTTGAGTTTCTTTACTCCAGGAGATAGAATATAAAATTCTTTCTCTCCGATTCTGGGTTTATCTCTACCAACAAACAAGAGACCAGGAGATAGAATATAAAATTCTTCCTCTCCATCATCGGGTTCATCTCTACCAACAAACAAGAGACCAGGAGATAGAATATAAAACTCTTCCTCTCCATCATCGGGTTCATCTCTACCAACAAACAAGAGACCAGGAGATAGAATATAAAATTCTTCCTCTCCATCATCGGGTTCATCTCTACCAACAAACAAGAGACCAGGAGATAGAATATAAAATTCTTCCTCTCCATCATCGGGTTCATCTCTACCAACAAACAAGAGACCAGGAGATAGAATATAAAATTCTTCCTCTCCATCATCGGGTTCATCTCTACCAACAAACAAGAGACCAGGAGATAGAATATAAAATTCTTCCTCTCCATCATCGGGTTCATCTCTACCAACAAACAAGAGACCAGGAGATAGAATATAAAATTCTTCCTCTCCATCATCGGGTTCATCTCTACCAACAAACAAGAGACCAGGAGATAGAATATAAAATTCTTCCTCTCCATCATCGGGTTCATCTCTACCAACAAACAAGAGACCAGGAGATAGAATATAAAATTCTTCCTCTCCATCATCGGGTTCATCTCTACCAACAAACAATTTACTGTCTCGCGGGCCGAGACAGCAAACACTGTCTCGCCCGTCGAGACAGCAAACACTGTCTCGACAGCCGAGACAGCAAATGCTGTCTCGCGAGCCTGTTTTCCGCCAACTGTTCCTATGGGTTATAAATACCCCCCGAAGGCCATTTTTGAAGGAGGCTGATCAGAGAGCATCCATAGGCTGATTCCAGAGCAGAGAAGGCAGAGTACTCGAGCTTCTGGCAACTCCTTGATATTCAGGCTTTGACTTGATTTCAAGAAGAACGACTATCTTACCTTGATAAGATATCGTTTCAAGTTCTCACTTCGATAAACGAAGTCAGAATCATAAACCCCTCACGATTCGATCAGAATCTGTGATTTGGTGGTCCACGGGCTAACGCACCCCCGGCACAGGCAAAGATCCCACGCAAGCAGTGATCCAAACAACGATCCTGCGTTTGTTTCCCAAGAGTTGTAATTTTTATTTTGTTGTGTAAAAGAAGTCTTATAAAAAGGCTATTTCTTTTGAATTTATTGTAATCGACTGAAGATATAATGAATTCCATGACAAAACCAACTTTTGACGCAAACACTAATTCTGAGTACATGACTTGTACTCTTCCGTTATGAACTCCATTTAACTCTAATATCCTTTGTTTAATTTTAATCCAGTCCAGAGCTATGCTATGAATAAGTTCAATAAGCATGCACCCAATATAAAACATGAATTAACAGACATATTAATAGAGGATAATTATGACGCTTGCGGTGCAATCTGAACAAACTGCTGCAACTATGGGGGAACAAACTGCGAAATTTTAATTTGAAGGGGCAACCACACTACCCATATGAAAGTGGGCCGACCAACTAACATCTCTCAGCAGTCACTAACTACTGAATGTGGTTTATCTACTTCTGCATTTTAGTTTCAGATGATCACTGAAAATGCTTACGACATTTCAAGGCTATATTGACAATTCACATAAAAGGCGTGGGTATCATAATTGTGTTCATTCAATTTAGCTGGAAGTACAATGTGTGGTTCATGCTAATGAATACACCATATGCCCTCTCTCCTTTTGTGTGACTGTGTTTGTGTGTATCAGTCTCTCTTTGAATGGACATTTGCCTGCATATGATTCTCTCTCACTAATCATTTAACATGATTGAAAGATTGAATGGTATCCAAACCCTAATCCAGAAAACAACAAAGATACATTATCCACTGGCCAAAAGGGCCATTCCTGAAATGAACAAGGTTAAAGGATGTCAAAACAATTCAAGCTAATTCTTCTGATATTCTGTGTACAATAATTAGAATTGGATTGATAAAAATCTAAAAGATGATGATCACTGGTTTTCTGCTAACAAAGGGCAGCCATATATTTCAATAAGGCTCCAAGATGTAATGAGGTATTTGACTAAAATATTAATAACACATACACAAAAACCTGTAGGAAATATGTTCCTGAGGACAATTGGTTCGTTAAAAGTTCATTATTTTATCTGAATAATGTATATAGTTTAAGTTTGGTTTCCGAAAGAATTATTTATAGAACAAAAACTGAATACAGCACCATAAAATCCATTCCTCACGTCTGACTGGAGACAATGGACATGAAGTTCTTGCACTATCAATGATTGTCGGCAAAAGTTGATGATCTTTTGGAAACATACTATCCTGAAAACTAAAACTTACAGGCAATAATAAAAGTCAAATATCTTCCGAGAAATAATATCAGTCAGCAGTCATATTACCATCAGGCTGCTGCCAGGTAGGTCCAGAAGATGTACTTCACAACTACCCATTCCATTAAGTAAAACTTTCACATCATACCCATCAAAGCATTGATTCAAGAATGAATAGTTTTAACGGCTGTCCATTTGTTATAGAAAAAATAATTTGTACCTTATACCTTATGAAACTGACCATCTATTAGATTAGACCTTCCAGCAAATAACTAATACCCCATCCAGTCAATTAAAATTAAGGCATTCTAGCCATAGTATCAAGATACCGGCTTGGTGTAGAAAGTGCACTAGTCCTACCACAAGTAAGGTTTTCGCTTCATCTCAACATGGGATACGAAAACGAACAACGTGAGATGGTTGTTCGTCGATACTGGATTTTTTATTTTATTTTTTATGTTTTCTGGGACAATAGATTGAATCAGCATCCCATCAAATAACTAATACCCTGTCAAATCCTCATAAACCTAAGATGCAAGTTGCAGTTGACCATGTCAACAGCTATAGTTAAACCCTATCTTACCCCAGTTAGAAGGAGGATCCATTTATAGCTTAATTTTATAATAGATGTAGATCCCTTAGCTCGGAATGACTTTAAAATGACGATTATTATAAAGATGTCAATCACTTCATCTATTTAAACACAAGGAAAATTGGGCATATAAGCCAATGGAAATAACATATTTCATGAAATGATTTCAAATACAATCTAAAAACTCGTTACCTTTTGCTTCTCATCGTCAAGTTTCTGTTTCTCCCCCTCATTTAGGGATTCTAGCTTATCAAGTTCTTTACGTCGCAAATCCAACTCTTTCTTCTTTGAGTCCAATTCCAACCTCAATTTTTCATTCTCTTCAAAAACTTTACGAGCATTATCACGAGCTTCACCTTGCATTCTCCGCATCTCTGGCAGAACATACCCAAAAATTCATGTTATAAAATCAAATAGAGGATCATAAAGTTAACCATCAACCCATATTCCATTTTAGTATAATAAACCTACAATACAAATACACTTGAAGAATGCGTGTGTGTGCGTGTGTGTAGAGAGAGGTTTCACACTCCCAGGACATAACTAAGCTAGTTATGTCCACCTAACAATTATGTCATATGTCGTGAAATTCAACAATCGGTGTTATTAAAGTTGTGCAAACACAAATCATGCAATTTTACAGCTTTACAAAAACTTTCTTAAATTTGTGCTTTAACTTTAGGTGGTGGCATTAAACTATTTTTCTGCATCCCCATAAACCTAGCCATTGACAGCATAGATATACTAAATACAACAGGGAGTACTAACCTAACAGCTACTCACCTCGCAAAAATTTAAACATGGTTGACACTCTTACTCTACCAACTGGAGAAGTACAGTGTACCCCAATAATCAAGTTCAAACCATTCCGTTGTCATAGCTATGATGTAAACAGCTGAAATGTAGAGAAGCAACTTACATTTTTTATTAGAGGAGAAAATACATGCATTCCTTTCTTCTACACAATTTTGGAATGGCATGGTGCAGCAAATTCAAATCCCAGAAACTTGCACACTATCTATCACGAAAAAGGTGATATAAACCAGGTTTTCCAAATGATTTACATTGGTAGATTGTCAGATTCTTAGAACATCCTCTAATCTCCGTGTACCAGGTGACACGTTCTGTAAACAAAAGCATGTTCCTCTGCAACTTAATTTCAGAATCAAGCAACATAACAGAAGAAGAAGAAGAAATAAAAAAAATGGTATAGCTTATATTATCAACTACAACTAGATAGCTAAACAAACAATACATTCCAACTACCAGCTAACAAAAACAGAGATAGCTTTCATGAATTCATGCATAGACTCAGAATTATTAACAAGAGCAAACAAAATACAGCATGCGTACTCTCATTGAACGCCAGATGAACCCGGTTCTTATCCTCCAAAATCCTCCTCAGCGACAAATCACTCAAGTTATACCTACACTGCATGTCCATCAAATGCTGATTCTTAACCTCGATTTGGCTCGCCAACAACGCAACCATCCTCCCATTCTCCTTCGCCTGCTCATTCTCCACCTCCGACACAGTCAGCACCTTCCCGTTCCTCTTCAAATACTCACCAACCGAATCGTCTCCGTTGAAATCCTCCTCTCTCGCCATCCACCCATACAAATCCCCTTTCCCAACCTCAAATTTCCCTTTAACCCACTCCTCTCTCCCCAAACCCACAGCTTTAAACTGGTTCTCGAAAGCAACAGCGTCCCTAAACCCACTCCAATCCTTATTAAACCTCATGATCACAACACAGTTTCCATTTGGCTTATCGTGTTCCCTCACAAATAGCGGGATTACCTCCAAAGGTTTGAACTTTGAGAACCTCTCCTCAAGCGGCTCACCGATCGGGACATTGGCAAGTACGCCGGTCCAAGGCCAGACAAAGAGTTCAGGACTCGGTTCAGGTTCAGGCTCAGGCTCAGCTTTGGGCTCAATCGGTCTAGGGATAGGGTTAGGGTTAGGCCCATTGGGGTTCGGGTTCGATTCGGTGAGGAAGCGGGCTAGGGCGCGGTGGGTGGTGCGCATGGAGTTTTTGCGGGCGGAGGAGGCGGCGATGCCGGTGGCGTGCTGGAGGAGGTCCTTGAGCTTGAAGGACTGCTTCTTCTTTCCCGCGCAAAAAGGGCATCGGAATGTTCCGTCGGGGTTGCGGACGCGGTGGTTGGAGGTGGTGGAGGTGGCGTTGGATTGGTTGGATTGGAGGTAGGCGTAGGCTTTGGACTCGTAGTCGCTGATCTCGGAGTCTGAGATCTCGTCGGAGGAGGAGGAAGAGGCGTCGTCCTCCATTGTTGATCAGATTGAGGGAGGAGAATTTGGGGAATTTTTTTGGGTTTTTGAGGTTTTGGAGGAGGGAGGTGAGGTTACCGGAGGTGAGAGGAGGGAGTGAAGTTTTTAACTGCGGTCTGCTGACTGTCATCGTTGGAGTTTGATGGGATATCAAAGATGTGTTCTTGAGATGTGAGTTTGTTGGCACCAAACAGCAAACAGCCATGAGGTAGATTTATGAGCCAGGCTGGTATAGATTCTTTTTTGGTTGTTCAAGTATTCTAGATGATCAAATTTGGTTGAAACAAATGTATGAGTTTCTCCCCCGCGCCTCCCTCCCCTCCCCAGCCTCCCCACCCCCGCTGCACCTCCCCCTACACCTCTCTCCTCCTCCTCCGGTCCCCCTCCCCCGCTCCGCTGCTGACGTTGTCCCAAGGAACTTTGTGTCTCATGTTAACTATTATAGATAACATGTTAACTATTACAGTTCACACATTAAGCTCAAAACATATTTATGAAATTATAATAGTTAACATGTTATCTATAACATTTAACATGAGCTGACATGAAAAAGAGAAAGAGTAAATTTGGGATTTTAGGAGCTAACATGTCTAATCATGAGCTGGAATCATGATGGAGGGCCCTGGACGCAGTTTTTTCAAAAAAAGGGGCTCCATCACATTAAAAAAATGTGAGGGGCTGGAGCACATTGAATCTTGAATTTTGGGGCCTAGAAGCAATTTTTCCAATTTTGTATCTAGACTACATTCTAAGAAAACCAGTGATAAGCGTATTATTCCTTCAATACTACTTTGGCACTACTACTCACAAAGAGTGGGGTCATGATGTTTTCTGGTTCACCACTATAATGACCCCACTCTTTTGTGAATGATAGTGCCAAACTAGCATATGGGAGTAGTACACTTAGGTGGTGTTTGTTTCACCCTATATTAGCATTAGGAATAGAGATTTGATTTGATATGGGTGTTATCGTAAAAAAATAATCTTGTGGTATCCTATTACTATGTTTGGTTCACAATAATTTTATAGCTAAGGGTTTCTATAAAGTTAAGAAAAAGAGGAGTCTTTGGGCCTGTTCGTTTGTTTTCTAAAAACCAAGAAATGGAAATGGAAATGGTGAAAATCTCAAAACTCACCATTTCCTCCATTTCCATCCCTAAAACTCACCCACAACATCCAATAAAATATTATTTCCATCCAACAACTCATCCACATCATCTAATAAAATATGATTTTCATCTAACCACTCATCCATCACATCTAATAAAATATTATTTTCATCTAACAACTCATCCATCACATCTAATAAAATATTATTTTTATCCAAACATCACTCAACTCATCTTTTTTCATCATTTCAAATCACTCACATCATCGAATAAAATATTATAACAATTCACCTCATCTCATTAACATTTCATTTCTTTATTTTCATCCCAAAAAGTTATGAAAACACTTTTCTTAATCTTTCTTCACATCACCCAATAATACAATGACAACTCATCTCATCTCATTTCATTTCTTATTTTTAAGAATGAACCGAACAAAAGAAAACAAGAAACTACATGAAATAGGTTTCTTAAAATTCATTTCCTTATTTTTTTTCGCCAACCGAACACTCCAAAACTAGTTTTCTAAAAAAATCACAAACATCATCCAATAATAAGGTGACAACTAACATCATTTCAATTTCATTTCTTTGATTTCCTTCTTTTTTAGCCAACCAAACACTCCAAAAACAATTCTTCATTTTAATAGTTTTCCATTCATTTGATTTCCCTTTTTTTTTTAGGCAAACGAACAAGCCCTTTGTAGAAAACTAAATCAGAAGGCTTTGGCTGGAATTGGAATAAAAAGCTGACAACATTATTTTTTGTGGATTAAAAAACTCAAGTTTGCTCCGATTGTTTTATTTTATGAATTTCACCGCACAGCAAAACCCTAGATTCGTTCTCCCCTTCTCCCGCCAACCTCCTCCCACCTCTTCTCTTTCCCGTTCGCGCCTCACCCACCCTTGGCCATTCCGAGTAAATATGATGACCCCCCCTTTGAAAATGCAAAAGGATCTGACGATCCTCATTTTTACAACAAAAATTTTGAGATCTGAGTATGAGTTTCGATCTGGGAATTTAAGCTTCGATTTTGTTCCTGCGATTTCTGACGTCGATTTAAGGTACGATTTCTGGTCGGAACTGCTAATTTGTGCTTCTATTTTGAGCTTTGTTCTTTGATTTCGAGCTTAAATCACGAACTTCGATTTTGAGCTTTGATTCGGAGGTTCAATTTTTAGCCTTGATTTTGAGCTTTGGCAGTCGAAATTTGTTCTCTTTAATCGCATCAGTGCCTTTGTAATCCGAGGTATAAATAAATAATCCCATTTTGTATTTAATTCATATGTGATCATGGATGGTTGTTTATCATGGATGCTCTGACAGTCGAGCTTTGATTTTTTACATGCTTGTTGTTATTTACATGCTAATAATCTGTTATAAACTTTGGGGCTTTTCTATTTTTTGGGGTTTTTTCCTAATACACCCCAAAATCATGAAAGTTAACAATAATGTAGATTACATTTGTTATTGCAGCCACAATATATTGTTTTGTTTTATTTAAAAAAATAAAAATGCTGAATTTTTTTGCCTATTTATGTTGATTTTGTATGTTCAAGTGGATTAGCTGCTGGAGTTTGTAATGCTCCTTGATGGTTTTTGTTAGTTTCGGTCAATTATCTAGTAGTATCATTGCTTCTGTTGGAGCTTGTGATGCTCCTTGTTGGTTTTTGTTGGTTTTTGCTGGTTTTAGTTGACTAATTAATGGAGCTTGTGAAGCTCCTTATTGGTTTTTATGGGTTTCGGTGATTATTTGCTAGTAGAGCTTCTGTTGGAGCTTGTGATGCTCCTTGTTGGTTTTTGTTGGTTTCAGTTGATTAATTGCTGGAGCTTGTGATGCTCCGTGTTGATTTTCGTTGTTCTCGGTTGATTACCCGCTAGTATGGCTTGGACTAGAGCTTGTGATGCTCCTTATTGGTTTCAGTTGATTAGCTGCTAGAGCTTGTGATGCTCCTTGTTGGTTTTTATGGGTCTCGGTTGATTATCTGCTTGTAGAGCTTGGACTGGAGCTTGTGATGCTCGTTCTTGGTTTTTATTGGTTTCAGATGATTAAATGTTAGAGCTTGTGATGCTCCTTAGTTGATATTCGGCAATGATGATTGTCTTTTACTGAGAATACAATCTAACTTACAGTGTTTATGTTCATATAAGGCAATCTGTGATGAGAATGCAACCTGCATTGAAATGATAATGTGTATGTGAGGTAATCCATCATTAGAATGCAATCTATAATAAGCCTGTAAGTTATAGGTGGGGCAATCAATTTTGACAAAAATGACTTATTTCCGAGCTATACAATATCAACTAGACTTGTAATGATAGTTTACTCAATTCCAATAAAAATTTCCATTACAATATCAATAGTTTTTGTAAGTATAAGTACATGACATGCCGTTTATAATAATTAAAATAATACAAAATATCACTACTAAAATTGCAAAAATTTTCCAAGCTAAGAGTTGTTTTTTGACAAGCTTCAATTCTTTTTCAGTCTCTTTGATTTCAAAAAAAAATATTTCTCCTCCAAAGTTGTTTTCATTAACAAATTAGTTTCCTTAGTTTCTTATTTCTCATCCTTCATGATCCCATTTAAAAAATCGCATTCTTTATTTGGTATTTTTCTTACCCCCGATAATATCTCCCCTTATTTTTAGCATACTTGCACACTTTCATGTGTTTGGAGATTGCAATCACACTAAACTTCAAGTTTTCAAAGGCATTCTTTTGATATCATATTGAATCAGGAGATGAAACTCGCAAAATATGAGAATTTTATATGATAGTAATAATGAGGGATACATTGGCACCATGAGCCCTCAATCCACATTTATAGCCTCCAAGTCCTTGGAACTAGCCGTTGAACTGATGATTTTTTCGGTTTTGAATTTTTGGCAATGGGTAAGACTATCCCAACTCAAGTTTTGTGCAAAATTTGTCTACTAGTGAGGGGTAAGTTTACCTATGGTGTTGTCATCCATTTATCCTAAAAATTTCTCATTCCAAATCAAACAAAAAAATAGGAATTTGAGGGTTTCTATAAAGTTGATTCTTTATTTTCATGTTATGAAACAAACATAAAAAGGTAAAAAAAAATGGATTACAAAGCATTTTATGACAACAAAATTTTATCCTTAAAATTTTTATAGATTAGAAATGAATCCATAAAAAACACATTTTTCCTAATCCTATTTTTTTCAAGTAGTGAACCAAACACCCCCTTAGCATTTTTCTTTTAAGAATCTCAAAGTTGTCACCTCAGCAAGGAGTAAAGCTAGTTTTTCTTTATTTCTAAACTATCCTTATCCACATGCTATCATCTCTTTTTTATATGTTATTATGAAAAAAAAATCCTTCTTCTTCTGCTCAACCATTGTCTCTTTCACCATCACCTTTTTCATTGCATTATCCTTCTCTTTCATCTCATTATTTCGCAATTATTATCTTTTTCGCCGTCATAGCCACTTTTTTGTCATTTTCCCTCTTTCTTCAACTATATCTCCTACTCCTTTTTTATAAGCGCCACAACGTTATTCAATGTCCATCATTTTAGCTTAATAAAGTCACGTCAAAGTTAACACTTAACAGTTAAAGTTATCACTCAACAGTTAACATTAACACCTAACTTTAAAAGCTTCAACGCTAAGCCTAACTGTTAGGTCTTTAAGTTTAACTACTATGTGTTAAATTTGAGTGCTAAGTTTTAAGTTTAATTGTTAAGTATTAATTTCAACATGACTTTAAGATATGATCCATTTTAAGCAAAAATGATAATATTTTAGCGACAATACAACTATTGAGGGATAGAGGAGAAGGTAAGAGAGGGAAGAAAGGTGGAGATAATATAAAGGAGAAGAGAAAAGGAAGATACAGGTGAAAGTGAAGGAGTGACGAAAAAAGCAAATATGAGACGAAGGAGGCAAAGAGAGTGAGAAGGAAAATTGAAGGAGAAAGGACAAGCATAGAGTTAAGATAGATGAAAGATGAGAGAAGCGAATAAATTTTTTATGGACAAGAGACGCAAGAAAGATGATGGGCAAAGGAGAGGGAATAATGAAGATATGGGGACGAAGATGGAGTGAAGTTCTAGCGTCGTCCAAGGAGTCATAACTTCGGCCCGAATAGTCATAATAACTCCGACTCAACATTAAACGCATTTCTCAAAAGTTATAGGACTATTGAGAATGACTGTTGAACCTGGAAGGTCATATCATCATTCAAAATATTTCTTAGCAAGGACTTGAGTAGAAGACGCTTAGGGGTGTCCATTTGGGCCTAAGGCCCGATCTAGCCCGTCCCTGTTATTATATTTATATATATTTTTATATATTATATATATTTTTTATATATAATTATATTATGATATGGTCATTAATGTATACATATATATATTTCTCAGTGTATATGTTTTTTTGAGGAAAATGACCGTCACTTCGTAGCCCTAAGTGTATATAGTTGTGTGTGTGCGCGCGCGTGTATACTCTCTCTCTCTCTCTCTTAGCATGTTATAGATACTAAGATATAAGTATATAAATATATAATGTAGTTATAAGTATAGTTATATGTGTATATTATAGAATTACAGTTATATAAGTATATATAAGTACATAAGTATAACTATATATAAGTATATTGCATATAGTATGTATAAAAGTATATCATATAAGTAAAGTGTATAACTGTACTTAAATAAGTAAAATGTAAGTACATAATAAATACATATATAACTATATAATACGTAATATATACTTATGTGACACACTCTCTCTCTCTCTCTTAGTTTATAATAATATGTAAGGATGTACTAATTAATACATACTTATATAAACTAGTATAATGTACGTGCTTTTGCACGTGAACATACATGTTTTAAGTTTTGAATTTTTTATTGAATAGTAAAACTATGTATTGATAAATAAAATTGTATAATAAGATCTCTTGAAAAGAAATATATGAATTAATTATTATTGTGTAGTTACTATAATTGAATGTTTTCCTTATAATTATCGCTCAATGCTAACCTTTTCTTAAATAAGTCCCCAAAATCTAAAATTATTCTTAAATAAAACTGACAATTATATAGATTCTCTTAAATATGCTCCTCCAGCTTGAAAGTTGTTAACTTAACTTTAAATTAAATTAGTTGCATTAATTTTGCTAGCTTTTTCCTGATGTTTCCTAGATAGTTACACTTAACACCTACAACATATTGTATTACTTACTTCTTATTATAAGTATTTAATAGGATAAATTACACTACACCCTTATGAACTTTTAACCCTATGAACTTTCAAAATCACACTAAACCCTTGATAACTTTTCTGTTTCAAAGAAAACCCCAATAACTTTCTAAATTTTGTAGATAACTTCCATAAATTAGAACCGAAAATGGCATAAATTGCATTTTAAAAGTTATTGGAGGTTTGGTGTAATTTATGTAAAAGATATTGGGAGCTTTCTATAAAATTTATTAGGGGCTTAGTGTGATTTTGAAAGTTCATAGGATCTATTTATTGCAAAATATTGAAAGTTTATTGGAGTTTACTGGAATTTACGTTATTTAATATTATAAATCTTAATTAAAGTAATACGAGTAAAATAATTATACTATATATATATATACAACTGTAGGATCTGATCTAATACACACTACATTAGAGGGGGGTGAATAGTGTTCCTTTTAAAAATTATGCAAAGTAGATTATAAATTACAAGAAAGATAACAACAATCACAGAAAATCACAATCACAAACACAAGATTTTATACTGGTTCCACCTCACCGGTGTACATCCAGTCCCTAAACAAATCCCGTTTGAGAGTTCCACTATGATTTTAAAAAATTATTACAAAATCAAAAGTAAACCTGACCAATTTGCAAGACCATACAAATTTTACCCAATCTCTTCACCAAACGATCACAACTCTCACACCCGAGAGAACTTTTCTTGAATCAACAACACAATTACTATAAGCCTTGAATGTGTAGTGATGTGCACCAGCGGTTTTAGGAACGTTTTTAATCTCTGGAAAAATGCCTTAATATTTTTGTATATAGGATGAAGATCAAAGGCTATTTCAGAATTATAATTATTTCAAAAGGTGAGGAGGTGCATAATTAATAGGATGTTATATTTTTAATGAAAGATTAATTAGAGATAATGGTATAGATAGAACTTATCAAAATTTGAGAGGGCAAAAAAGAAAATTAAAAGTTCTCTTTTTATAGTAGTATAGATATAGATATAATAAGATTAAATTTTTACCAAAAAATTTAAAAAATTTAAAAAATAAAAAAAATCCAGGCTGACCTGGAGCCGGGTCCAAGTCCGAGCCACCTGTTTTGCTCGGTCCGGATCTAAATTTTCAGGTCTAGCCAGGCCGGACCGTCCCGGATGGATAGGCCTAAAGACACCTTTCATCCTGAAATGGGGTTCTTCTAGCGAATTCTTGCTTTAAGATATCTTTCATTTCGGATTTGGGCCGTTAAGGTGATCTTTATGTTATATACTAGTTAAATTGCAGTTGCATAATGCACGTGATAGGGGAATATAACAATGTATTTTCAAAGTAATTAAAACAAAATATTTTATTGAAAAAGTTTTAAGAGACTTCTTATTTAAAATCAGCGGTCGGGGGGAGGGGGGCTAACAGGTGGCATTGTCTCGAGAGGAGCAGCGGGAGGTTCCGGAGGAGGTTCAGGCTGCCGGGGAACGCGGAGGTGGGTCAGGTGAAGGCGGCGACGGAGGACGGAGTGCTGATTGTGACTGTCTCGAGAGAAGAGGGGTGCGAAGTCGATCGAGATCTCCGGTTGATTTTGGCGAGGGAGAGTGAAATGGAAGCTGATCCAGTTGTGGACTACTGATGATTGAGTGTTTCTTAATTTGTTTTCATTGTTGTGTAAACAGGGTCGTCCTGTTTTTTTTGTCGAGTCTGGCATTTGCTTTTGCAGTGTTCGGAGTCTGTGATGGGTACGTCGTCCTCTGTTTCGTTGAGTCGGTCATCTGCTTTCGCGGTGACTTTTGATCAGTAGACATAATAAAATTTGCCGCACTTTGTATCTGATCAATTTCTCGTCTTCTAGATCGCATCCAGTTTCTTGGTTCTATGAGGTTTGCTTAGGTTAGTGATGCTCGACATTTCGTCAGGTGTTGCAACTGGTAATTTTTCAGGGAAATGCCTCAGGGATCGACTTGCAGAATTTCTCCTTCAGGTCCGAATCTTGATGCAAAATCAACAACTTAATCGGTTTCAATTTCTTGAGGTTTTCGGTGACGTGTAACGTGTTGATGGTTTCTAGTTGCAGGTCGATCGTGCAGAATGTGGCGTCTTGATTGCTTGAAGTGATGAGGCTCGTTTAACCTGTACCTGTTTTCATTGATCTGGAAGTAAGCATCTCATGCTTTGTAGTTTGTACTGTATTAATACCAACCTTTTTGTTTGTCTCTAATTTTAGTTTATTAATTTGAGAGCCATGGTCAAAATTACGACAACGGCGTGACTTTAATTTAGTTCCAGTACTATGCATTCACAAGCTCAGAGTTCCGATGGAAATAAAATGATTCAAATACCTATTTGAAAGGACGAAATTCCTTATACACTTATATAAGCTTAGGAAATACAGGCTAAAATGACCATTAAACGTTATTCTAACAGCTCTAATGAACAAAGTTTTCATGCAAACCGCCATTGTGGGGACACACGTGCACGCGCACACCCATGCCCGTCCGCATGTGCTAACACACTCACAACTACATATCTTAGGTTCTGAATAAGAAGAAAAAGAAAAAGCACATATCTTCATTATAAGTATGTGCGCATACGAAATGCCAGTACTGATGAGCTAACAAGAAATAAAAATGGTGAGGTCTGTTGGATATTTTTGGAAAAAATCAATATTGTTTCCAAACTATCACCTATTAATTCTCCAACTAACCCCATGTTTCTCTAAAAAGCTTTGACTATTTCTACACTAATCTCTCTCCCTCTAACCAAATTCAGTAACCCATAATCTCCCCTCTATCTCCCTATAATACCCTCTTAAGCTCTCTCTTAAGATGTGACTTCTCTCGTCTGATTCTCTCTAATCTCTCTCTCCCTGCTCACGGGACAGAAGCAAAGAAAAGAAGAGAATAGTGAGAAATAAAGAAAGAAAAGAAACAGAAATAGAGAGAAAATTATAACGGGGAATTACTATTTTATCGATAGTGTTATTTTGGGCAACCTTCTTCATCTGAGAAGAAGCTCTATGCTCTCGCCCTAGTACGGAGGCCGGTCATTTTCAGGAGCTTTTACCGCTAGGGGGAGAGAACCATTTGCGCTAGGACGATAGGCAGATTCTCAATCTTCTAGGACAGTGATTACACGACTGTTCCCGTTAGGCCTGATTTTTCTTATCTTTTACTTATTGTTTGATGAAAAATTTGTGAAATGAAAATGAAAGAACTGTGTTTAATTTTATTCCCTCTAACTACTTAGAAAAAGAATGATTACAACTCTCTCAATCTCAATTATAATTTGGATTTTCTGATTACAAAAGAGAAGAAGATCGACGTAGATCCCCCATTTGTTTAAAACTAGGTTCTTCACGATAGCAATGAAATACCTCACTCGAATGTTCGCGTCGAGTTTACTTTCCATTGACGATCCGTACGTCTCCCTTTACTAGAACTATTGAAGGAACTCTTAATGAGTTTTAAGAACTCAGAACGAGTTCAAACTCTATGCAAAGAGTTGTTTGAACCGTAAATCGGTTAATAGCTAAGTAGCAAATCTTAAAAGATTTTCTGTTGTTGAAGAAAGCTTCCAAGATCTTTGCTGATCTCTAGATCTGAAAATGCTCAAAGATCCAAATATCCTCTTAAGTTGATTTTTTCCAGCTATTTATAGGCGATTAGGGGGTGTAACCGCCCCTAAAATCGCTCCTTTATGGGACTTATGGGATGTAACCGTCCCTAAAATCGCTCTTTTATGGGGCTTATGGGATGTAACCGCCCCTTAAATCACTCCTGAGTGGAGTTGTGATCCCCTCAGATCATGAAAAACGGTTCTGAAATCGTTCAGCTCGTGTTTGAACAAGTCAAACATAAGAATTGCGTTCTGGCATGAATTTTACGTTCAAACGCAGTGTCTGGAAGCTCGAATGCAGCTTGTTGGAAGCTGCGTTTGTAGCGTCTGGAAGTTCGTTTGCAGCGTCTGGAAGCTGTGTTTGTAGCGTCTGGAAGCTGCATTGGTAGCATTTAAGAGTTGCGTTTGACAGCGGATGGAAGCTGTGTTGGCAGCTTTTGGAGGCTGCGTTTGCGGCCGAACATGAGCGTGTTGGCAGCTTTTGGAGGCTGCGTTTGCGGCCGAACATGAGCTACATTGGCAGCTAGATCTTAGCTGCGTTTGCAGCGTTTGGTGCTGAATATGAGCTGTGTTTGCACTGCGTCAGCGGTTGTGAACACAGTGCATCTTGATGCTGGTACGCGGGGAGGACCTCCGCGTCTTGATGCTGAAACGCGGGGAGGACTTTCGCGTCTTGATGCTGAAACGCGAGGACTTCTGCGTCTTGATTTGAGAAGATCGTCAATTTGTAGTCTTTTTTTGTCAGAACGTTGCAAAGATCGTCGTTTTGTAATCTTTGCTTTAGCTCTTTGATATGTGAGAGTCCAAAGATCGTCGTTTTGTAATCTTTGCTTTAGCTCTTTGATATGTGAGAGTCGTCAGGTTGTAACTCTCACTGTTGATTGTGAAGACTATTGATCAGAGGATATGTGAGAGTCGTCAGGTTGTAACTCTCACTGTTGATTGTGAAGACTATTGATCAGAGCTTTCATCGATTATTATGAAGGTCGTCAGATTATAACCTTCGTCGATTTATGTGAAAGTCTTCAAATTATAGTCTTCTGGAAGCCGTCAAATTATAGCTCCATCATCGGTATTTAATGAGAATTAGCTATCTACAATAATTTTTAGATAGCCTACACTTATTTAATTCAGATTTTTTTTATGCTATAATCTTGATTTACAGATAATTTCCAACAATCTAGAAGATTGAGAATATTATAGATGTTAATTATTAAATCTGAAAATAATTATAATTTATAATTATTTGTTTTGAAAATGAGGACAGTTTATATATATATATATATATATATATATATATATATTAATATTACTGTTCACCAAGAGTTACTGTTTACCCGAAGCTCTTTGTTGTTTATGTGTCTCATTTTACTAATTTAGTCCTTTGCTTGGTAACTAACAATATAATTTCACCAAGGCTTAGTTGCACTTTGGTATCTCAGTGTCGCATTAAATAAAATTTGATTTGGAATTTTTCTTGCTCTATATACTAAGCTATTCATAGAGATTCCTTTCATGTGCTGGTCTGGGGCAAGTACATCTTTTTGTGAGAAGCTTTGTGGCAATCAAAAAATTTAATGACTGCTGTTAATTAATCTCAATCAACTGTTAAGGATAAGGATAAACTTCTGTGATGTGATCCTAAGATTGGAATGATCACTTGGGGAGTTAGCCTTGCATTCGTCATCTGATGCTTGTTGTTGGCTTGAAAAAGTCTCAGGAGCCCAATGTACAAACTAAACTTGTCTGCCTTTTTCTTCAGTTCGTATTGATCGAATACGATATATTCTTTGCGCAAATATTTAATGTCATTGTTCACAGTATTGTTCACATATTTACTGTTCATGTATTGTACAGCATTGCGTACATATTTGCTGTCCACAAATATTTGTTACTGTAGCTATTACTGTTAACTCTAATCATTGTTCACGCATTTACTGTTCACAGTTATTGATACTTTTTACCATTATTGTTTATGTATTTATTGTTAATTGTTGCTGTTCATAAAAATAATGTTCATAAAAAATGCAGTTTTTATTCTACTGTTATTGTTTTATTGTTCATATTTACTGATCATTAGTAATTTTACTGATTAATATTACTAGTTCATAAATAAACAGTATTTGCAAATATCCTTTGCAAAATAAAATCTTGAATCAAATGTAATAATATTTATGACATCTTCCCTCCTGAGCATGGGCTACGCCTACGAGTATAGGCCCTTGCTCAATGATCACGGGCTACGCGTATAGGCCCTTGTTCGGGTGTGGGGGTATGATTGTTTAGTTAAATTATTTTATTTATGGCTTTTGTTTTACAATCATATGCAATATTATTACACATCATTCGAGATGGTGTTTTCCATATATATGGGGCTTATACGTCATATGTTTATGTGATTGTAATAATACAGTGTTTACAATGAAACATTTTATATTCAAGCATGAATAAGAGGACCGGAATTATGAGATTAATTCATATGCATAAATTTAAATTTGGAAAGTCTTTTTTGTAGGCAACCAATTTAAATTTGGAAGGTCTCTTTTGTAGGCAACCAATTTAATTTTGGAAGGTCTCCTTTGTAGGCAACAAATTTGCAACCTCTTAAAATATGAGAATTTAAAATTTATGCATATGAAGTATGAAATATATGAAATCATATTATAAGGTTCTCTTGAATACTTTGCATGTAACTATTATTAATATCATTCATATATGTGCATATGCATGCATGTGAAGATATAACTGTAGTATTTTAGTTCCACATTATGTGCCAAATTCTAATCTGCACAACACTATGTAGTTACATCTTCAGACATAGACCACGATTATAGACCATGATCTTTTAAGCTAACATGTTTTGATGTCGTATCATTTTAATAGTGACTAGAAAGGTAATTTTTATAGCTCTTCATTTGACTACATGTATAATGCTTTCTCTTGAGATTTTAGGAAATGATTAGAATTGATATAAATATGATTTGTCAACTAATATGTCTAGTTACAGGAGATGTGATGAATCAATGTCCTGGAAAATCAAATCAAGAGGTATATCTTATAACCTCTTTCTATATGATGAATAAAAGTTTATATTAAAATTAGTCCATCAAATAATTGAAATGCTATTAGGTTCCATTATCCTTATAAGATGTTTCAAATTAATCTCTCCTCTTGCTACATGTACCATTGTCTGGAGAGACTAATTTTAAAATAACTTAACAAGAAAGGGACCTAATGTCAACTTCAAACAATATAAAGGATTAATTATAAAATAACTTAAGAACTTGATAAATCTATACAACGTCTGTTATGCAAAGTTGTGATTCTAGACTTTGTAAAGTTTGAGAAGAATTTTAATGATCCATTGACTAAAGGTCTATCCAAAAGTATGGTTTTGGATTCATCGAGGGAATTGGGGTTAAGCCCATAGATGAGGTCACTGACAGCGGCAACACAACCCTTATTTGAAGACGTAGTCCTAATGTTGGTTCAATATGGTATAAACAAGCTGGACTAGTGACACTCGTGTGGAACATCGATCTAGATATATTTATATATTATTATGGTAGCATCTGCTACTTCCCCTTCTCTATGGTGACGATGTTCTTATGATACAGCTAGTTAGGCTGAGTTTTACTCTTAATAAGTCCAACGTGTGTATTATTGGGGGTATTAAATAACCAGCTGTAGTACTCTTTGAGGACTTACCTACGTGAGAGGAACCGTGATGACCGCGGTTGGGGGGAGGGGGTTGAGCTAACTCCTAGAAACACTCATGAGTCGGTTTATTATGAGCATGACCTTTAATGCTCAACCCGCTTTGCTCAATAGATGAAGACGTATTTTGTGTGTTTTTATCAATACCTGATTCAATGGGCCTAATTCAAGGCCTAGTCCATTATGTACCTCTAAGGAAAGGTTCAAAGCCAGAAGCTACCTCTTCAAAATTCACGATACGAAAGGTTGCCCAACCTATATGTGTTTTGTGATTTATTGATTCATTTATTAATTTTGAGTTTTCAGTCAATATTGCTTTTTGGGGGGAAACTGTTGGATATTTTTGGAAAAAGTCAATATTGTCTCCTATCTATCCCCTATTAATTCTCCAACTAACCACATATTTCTCTAAAGAGCTTTGACTATTTCTCCACTAATTTCTCTCGCTCTAACCAAATTCAGTAACCCATGATCTCCTCTCTATCTCCCTATAATACCCTCTTAAGCTCTCTCTTAAGATGTGACTTCTCTCATCTGATTCTCTCTAATCTCTCTCTCCTTGCTCACGAAACAGAAGCAAAGAAAAAAAAGAGAATAGTGAGAAATAAAGAAAGAAAAGAAAAAGAAATAGAGAGAAATTTTTAACGGAGAATTTGTGCTACTATTTTATCGATAGTGTTATTTTGGGGCAACCTTCTTCATCTGAGCAGAAGCTCTGTGCTCTCGCCCGAGTACGGAGGTCGGCCGTTTCTGAGGGCTTTTACCGCTAGGGGGGAGGGAATCATTTGCGCTAGGGCGATAGGCGGGTTCTCAATCTTCTAGGGCAGTGATTACACGACTGCTCCCGTCAGGTCTGATTTTTTTTATCTCTTACTTATTTAATTCGGATTTTATTTTATGCTATAATCTTGATTTACAGATAATTTCCAACAAGGTCCACCTACTTTGGTGTGACTATCAAGGTGATCCTCACTACTAGTCTATCTCTTGTTAGCTTATTTTCAAACTAAGCTCTCAGCATTTGTAAGCATCCCCCCCCCCCCCTCCAAACATGCCACCATGTGGTGTGCATGCGCATGCGTGCATGCAAGCGCTTATTTCAATCTCACGATATCTTTTACTGTTAGTCGGATACGAGCTACTAGTAGGAACACTAGCTTGTTAACTCAAAGGGAGATATAGTACTGCATTAGCAAGTGCCAGTAGAGGCCTCAAACATTTTTTTGAACTTCGGTTGGGATGATTAATCTCAGTGCACGTACGCATCCTACGTATATTGTACTTAAACGTGCTTTAGCATAAATAATTGTTAGCCCTGGCTTTAGCAAGTGCCACATTGTTTCTGACTTTTCTTTGGTTTTGATCACATATCTGCTCGTTCTTGATCAATGATACCGCTGGTGGAGCCTTGTATACTGTATTCATACCACAGAGACTCTCAAAGGGGACACCAATTTGATGTTCCATAACTTCACATTGGTGATATGCAGCCACATGTTTTCTACTTCGGACAAGAACTTTTAAGTAGTGATTATTGTTTTCTCTGGAACCTGTTACTTCACATTATAAGTTTATGATATCGTTACATTCAAACATTTCCAGTCTACCAACAGTACGTGAAAGGTAATTCTAGAAAGGAAACAGATAACGGAACTCATCCTCATGAGGCTGTATTTCCACCATTTTTGTAAGTGGGACCTTTGTGTCGCGGCTCAGGCATTCCATAATCAATCTCTTTAACTGTCCAGCCTTTGGTAGTTGACTGTAGGCCCACTCCAGCAGTGACTCGATGTCATCTGCAAAATCTCGCATGTGCCAGTGTAGAAGTTTGGGTATGACGATCTTCTTCTTGCTTGTTATGCCGATTGACGCTTCCAAATATTCCACTTTCGCTCTCTCAAGCTCATTCACAACGTTCTCTGCAGTGTAAACCCGCAGCTGCAAGCGCCAGTTGTTTGTGGCGTTAAGAAAATCTGACTTTTAGTTCAAGTGCCAAAAGAAGGACGAGTAGTGATAACTGTACACAAGAGTTATACTACTCTTATACCCCTACACACACGAGAAAGTGAGATCTTTTCTTGTAAGGAAAGAAGGAAATAGGATTCATGTGTTTTTTCCTCCTTTTTCTTTTGTGTAAGAATCTTCTCCAATGAGTCTAGTGTTCAGTGAAACTTGGGGATAGCTTATGAAACCTTCGGATACTGAACATGAAAATAAGTGCTTGCTGACATTAGCTGTTCATTTTTTATTAAAAGAAATTAAGATAATAAAGGCAACCCAAAGCTGCAAAGCAGAAAACTTAAAGAAAGACTAGTTAAATTTCTGAATAGATTGTTTCCAGTTAAGTGAAGTTAAAAAAGTAAACCCTGATAGTGTTCAGATAAGAGTCATGTTCGTCATTTTTTTAAATATGATAAAGTCAAATTTGGAAAAAGAGCATGTATTTAATATGGGTCTGCTAATACTTGGAACTAGGGGCTATTCAAGAATGAGGAATGATTTACTTACCGCGGGTGAAGACCAGGTGCCTCGGCAAAGTGCAAATGTCACGTTTGGTTCAGGGTATTCAAGGCCGTAGACACGCCGCAAAAGTCTTTCTTTCTCTTCAATTGTTCCCTTGTAGCACAGTCAGTAATCGGCAATCAGAGTATGACGATAGGGGAGAAAGAATATCGTGTTTAACCAAAATACTCGGTGCTCACGTGGTTTACTTACATTTGTGGTATCAGAAGAATGCCTCACGATGAAATGCTCAATAGCCAAAGCATTAAGGACTATCCCTCCTACGTTGATTGCCGCCTATATCACAATTTACGTATTAAGAATGCAGTCAAGCAAAAGAACACCTTAAAGCGTAATAGGGTTGAGTTATGATAATTTTAAGCACTTCAGAAGCCAGCAAGTAGGATATGATCTTTAGTAATTATCCGCATATGCAAACTTTAACTTCAAACCTTAGGATGAGTATCTGTATCTTGAGTATTCTTTTAAGTTGGTCAGAGTTAGAGGTGTATCTTGGCTGCTTAAACTGTCTCAGGAATTTATTAAAATCAGTAAATATCTTGACAAAGTTTAAGAGTATTAGAAGGATAATTCAAGGGCTCTACTTAATCTGATAGTTGTCTAGGTTACTTCATGGCCGTTCACGTACAAATTTAGAACATCGTAGACAGCAAATTTTAATTTTTTATTTACTGAAGCAATAATTTGCAAGTAAAGACGTGTAGGATTATAGACGTTTGAATATTGTCAGGCATGTTATGAGGATGATGTTACGACAATGGTGACTTGTACATAATAAAACTACAATTATATATAGTTCTAGTGGATTTCTAAAGGTAAACAAACTTCAGGCCTTAAAGAATTTCGCCCAAGAAGCACGGGACACACTAACATGACATCTTAATGCAGTGCATGCATGCATACATACCTACACAGATTTGTGTGCATGCATATGGCCACACACACACTAATAATATGATAACGTAAAATGCTTGCATTATGCTATTAATTAAACTATATCGTTTTTATGCTCCAACTAAGGTTAAAAAGCAGGACATTGCAATCATCTGTGCCAAATATGTAGCAATTTACCTTGTTCAGTAGTTCGAGCAGTTCGTCTGGTGAGGATGGCAGGCCGTGCTGTAGAAATCCCTGCATTTATTTGACATGTCCGGCGTAAGTTTCTGTGTTCTATAATGAACTTTCTGTGAAGAGGGAAAATGGCTTACTGTACATGCATTATACAAGCATTATAGGTGTTGATCCAAAATGCTAGCTTTTGTTTGTGCGTCAAAAAGCTTAGTTCAGCAGTACAAAGTTCATGCATCAAGATCCTGAAAAAAATAGATGATTTCTCAAAGGTTGTACATGGAGATCGCTGCTGATAAGAGAGAGAATACCTGTTAAATGGCAGAACTCGTTATCGTCAATAATGTTTAAGTTTCTGAAACACTGTATTCTCAATGATCACCTTTTTCTAGTGAAATAGTTGTAACCTTGTTTACTAACTTAGAACTATAGTAATGATTTGTACCACTTATATTGTATCCCCAGTAGGCATGCATTTTATTTATTGACAGTTAGTATTTCTCATTATTAGTATTAGACAAAAGAAAGCCATGGTAAATAATTTATTTCAAATTGAACCAACGTATGCCTCTCATGCCATATACTGGATGTCCATATTCTTGGTGTAAGTGCGATTGCCAACTTTAAGGACTTTTATGTATGAGATGTAATTGTATTTCCATGTGTATCCTGGAAGGAGCATGGTCAATATGCACACGTGTAATGCACTAAGATACTAACTATGAGAAGGGTAGAATTTTTAGAATATGTAAGAAGCCCCCATTGAATAATTATGTCAGTTCATGGCGTAACATATGCTTATCAACTATACTTGCCTCAGTTTCCTAATTGCTGGACCGCATAATCTTATACGAGTCATGTCCAATGAACTCTTTGTGAAATGGATGAACTTCTTGTATGCTCCAATATCTCGTGCTGTTCTTTCACCTTCTAGCAAAACATCATAAGGATCTGATATCTGTAGAGTGTTCGAAGAGGACACGGTTGACTTGCAGTTGTATGAAGACCTGGAGATAACACTCCTGGAGCTCATGCAAGAAATGTTAAGTTTAGGAACAGTATCTTCTTTGCATTCCGGTTGCATGGATGACTTGTGAAGTTTATGAAAAATGATGATCAGAGTTTTGATGAGTTGTTCTGACAGTTTGTTCGGTGATTCGGTACTGGTTTCTTCATCTGAAAGGCCCCAGCTTTGATTTGGTTCATTGCAGCTTCGTGAATACACAGCTTCCTTATCTGTTGAAAATCCAAACCATACTAATTTCATTATGAAAAACCTATTTTTAATGCAAATCTGTGTGCTCTAAAGATGCTAGCAGTTCCTTGTAGATGGTAAATAAATGCAATTAGCACGATTAATAACAGGCCAACACTTTTAGAAGATTTAATTACCTTCATGTCTTGGTTCCTTCTTGATTTGTTTCATAGTTGTAAATGAACTTGTTGATATTTTTTTTCTTCCTTTTTGTTGATTTCAAGAGAACTTGTGCAGGTTCCTTGGAATCTTAATGACACACAATAATATCTATGTATATTGACTATGAGGGATTTTGACACGATTTAAGCAATATTTATACCCTTTGGCTTTCTGCAGGATGTGCTGCTTGTTTCAGTCACCAATTCAAGAGCATATCTTTCATCTTCAGGACTGCATAGGAATTCCATCTGTTTGGGCTCCCGCTGTTCATGTAAATCCCATTCTTTCTGTTCTCTCTCTTGATACAAATGTAGTTTCAAGTCTTTCACCTTTCTCTCCAGGCAAATTATTTCTTCTTCGACCATTGCTATTTCTGCTAGAAGTACCTGCACCTGAACAGATAATTTATGTTAAATAAAATTTTCTTCTGACCATGTTGTGGTTGCGGTCGAATAAGTGTATGTTGTTGTTTATGTTGGCTGGTAATTAGTGGTGTGTATGATTAGCATAAATTAATATTCAGTAGAATTGACTCATGCAGATAATATTTTCATGCTTGAGATGTTTTGGAGAAGATGGCTATTTGGTTCTACTAACAATTACAAATCTTGTTTTCTAATTATATATACAGAGTTGTGTAGACACACCAATTAGGTTAGGATATTTTATCTCGAAGCTTTTCTTTCATTGAATTTAGATTTATTGTCGATTAATGTGGGAATCTGGAATCATTATGGAGTCTTGAGTATTGATGGAATAATATGCATCTCACTTTCATTTGTTCTCGGTTATTTAGCATCGCAACTTAGAGATCACAGTCTTGCCATATTGTTCAGTGATATTCTAATGTGGGATTTTTATGGTTTTCTCTTTTTCGATTGGTCCGTTTTCCTACAGAAAGAACATGCTTCTCTTTTCTCGTAGCCATCGCTGACATTTGAAGGATTCTGTCAGTTTAGAAACTATTAGCCACTTCCTCTCGATGACCTTATCTGAATCATTGCATTATTATAGCTTAATAACTACCCCTGACGGTTTGATGGTTACGAGGTGACGGCTCGTCCAGCAAAATGAGCTACTAAGAGACAGAGTGGGTGAGACCAGAGATGTTACAAATAGGGTGAGCCTCTTGGTAGCTCATTTGGCAACATGAGCTCTCATCTCATACCCATTTTTCCCATTCCTCATTATTTTTACGCAAAACTTATTATACAAAAACGTAGATTAATTTACAGGTAATTGCCCGACGATACCTTAAGAGGAAGGAATGAAGACAGGCAAGAACGGCAAACCGCTGGCCCGCGCATCGCGCACTCTAGCGCCCGATTCAGGTTTCTCTCCGCCTGAAGTATCTCTTGCAACTCCTCCACCTGCATCAGTTACCAACTGTTCATTCTTTTCGCTAACATATATAATCCCCAGTACAGAGCTCAGCAGGCTGCTGCTCAACTCACCTCCTCCTCGAGATCTCGCCTCTTCTGATGCTCCCTTCTCCTCTGCATCAGGATATCTTCAAACTTCATTACTTATGTTGTTAGCTGTGAATTTAAATACGTGGTTGAAGAGTTTTAAGTTTGAAGGTGGTAGAAAACTGCAGGTGTGTTCATTTAATCCTTTCGGTGTTTGAAGGAAATAATAATAATAATAATAATAATAATAATAAATAAAGAGAGGTTTACTCACAGGACCCGTGGACGTTGGTCAAAAGTTTTATGGGTTTTGCTTTATTAACATGTACCGCGTGAGTAGCTTAAAATCTATGCGGTTGGAGGAGTGGGATGAAGAGGTGCTAAGCATTTAATTTTCTTACGCTGGTTCGATTGGGATGTAGAATTACATCTGAATTGAATTTAATAAAACAGTCCAAACAAAAAACGCCATCTGGCCCTCGTAACTCTCTGCTGAGGGGCGACTTTTTTTAATTATTTATTTTTATATATCTCTAAAAAAAAAATGTACCCAGAACTTACATGTTTTTTTTCTTTTTTGGGATAATATCATTATTTCCCTCTTAAAAGTATGAGTGAACTCTCCCCTTGTTCTTAAAGAACCAATATGCATGCATATTTTCCTCTTTAAACTATGTGTGTATCCTTAATGTGATCATCTTGTGAGCCTACGCTCAAATATTTAACAAAGTAATGACATGATTTTTGTTTATTATTTTATTTTTTGCATTTCTTGTATCTTTGCATTCTAGAAAATAATTTTTTTTAATTCATAAAAGGGTGATGATAAAAAATTCTAGCAAGAAAGTAGTTAAAATATGTTTTTCGGTTTGGGGGAAAAGGACATAAACTGATAAAAGCTCACCAAGAAGTAAGAAAAAAAAACATAATTATGTTATTAATCTGTTAAATATTTTATTATATGCTCACAAAATGACCATATGAAAGTCGTAAACATAGTTTGAGAGGTACAGTTAAAAACATATTTTATTCTTTTTTATTAGTAATCGTTAATTTTTCAAGTAAATTATTATAATTTTTTAGTGCAAATTAAGAATCAACATAATTTGTGAGTGGTATAATAAGTGTTAGATTCAAAACAAATCATAATAGTTCTACTTTTTTTTAATAGTAGCCAAACGGAGTTCTTGATTGAGAAAAAGAAAAGTTATACAAGTGTGACCTTAAAATCGCTACGTTTAGGAACTATTACTTAAGGCCCATATATAATGGGCTCCAATAAAGAATCAAATCACAGCCTACTTATAGAAGCCCATTAACCTCAGCCCAACCAAAAATGGATCCCTATTTGACTCTCGTGTTCCCAATTATTCGACTTCTCTCATTCTAGCTGGTGAATTCGCTAGGGTTTGGGTTCCCGAGATCGAAACCCCAAATTCTGCACTCGTTGCATTCTTTCTCCAGGTTAGTCGTCGATCTTTGAAATCGAATTCAAAAACCCTATTTTTCTCTCTCTCGATTTGTAAAACCCTAACTTTCCCTTTTGCGGGAACCTTCTATGAGAGCGCTTGAGGGCTTAATCTTTTGTGAGATATTCGAAGATTAGGGCTTTCCTTCTTGACTTTTATCAATTGAAAATCTTTCTTATTTTATTAGGGTTTTATAAAGTTGTTTTGAGTTTCCTAACTTGTTAAATAAATAAAAAAAACCTAAAAGTCAAAAACAAAAATTTCCCTTTCGCTTATTGAAGCTGCTTGATTTCTTGAAAGCCAGTTTGCCCCAAAAATACGAACATTTAAAGCATCTCTTGTTACAGTTCGATAATGAGGAGGCACAGTCCGGCGTATTATAGCCCCCCGCGAAGAGGTTATGGTGGTAGAGGAAGAAGTCCACCGAGGAGGAAGTACGGCGGTGGCGGCGGCGGCGGGCGCAGGGAATCTGGTCAGAGTCTTTTGGTTAGAAACATTCCCCTGAATTGCAGGTAAAGATTCTTCCTTTGATGTTTGTAGTTGGTTTTGCTTTGTTATATGAAAGGTTGATAGTGGTTGTATATTTGTCCTTGCATATTTAGACAATTTGATGTTTATTTACCGAAGGATTATTATTCTGGGTGAGTTCTTAGTGGTTGATGTTTAGGCCTTGATGATGGATGTTTATTTACCGAAGGATTATTATTCTGGGTGAGTTCTTAGTGGTTGATGTTTAGGCCTTGATGATTAAGGATGTGAATGTTCCTTTTTAATGTATAGTTCATCTCTCTTATGATTTCTGATTCGACGTAGTTCAGTTGAATTCTTGAGATTACGAATAAGAAAACCCTTGTCATGGTTAGCGTTTACCTAAGTCCTGAAGAAGGCTGGAGGTGGTCTTAACCTACTGCTACACCTGAATGGTTTTATGTTTTATCTGAGAATGCTTTCTTTGAGATATAAGGAAAAGGTTTATATTACACCATTAAAGTAGGATTTGCAAGAGGCGTAGGCATAAGGTACGCGTGTCATATGATAATTTTTGTGAAGAGCAAGCTATCAGTATTTGGTTATTTTTCCTCTATTAGTGGATGGAAAAGGAGCGATCAGTTCATCTGGAATGTTCCCCATTGTGTGGTATAATTATAAACACAACTGCAAAAGTGATGGTGTTTTCTTTGTGAATTATTTTCAGTACTGCAATCAACGAAGGGCAAGTTCTGAGGGATGCATGGTAGTGTAATATGTAAGAGATTCATTTGTAGATATAAGTTTATGTGAACGTTGGCTTCCAAATACATGGAATTCTGATCAACAGTCTCAAAGTTTAGAGTATCTTGCAGAGTGCAAGAGAAGCTGGTGCACAACATTATGACAAAAAAAAAAGAACCAAATTAGTAAATTATGCTCATGTAGAGTTTTTAATGTTATTTTGGTGATTTCAAGAATTTTGACTAAGGTTTTGCACTTGCTCCGTTAGCATATTGTAGTCTTGCCTTTGCTTCACTATCATATTCTCATGGTTGGCTTTAGGATGTAAGCTAAATTTGGAGAAACTGCTGCAAATGAAATTTCCAAGCTTCTTGTGACTTTATTTCAACTTGATACCTATCTGGTTTGCTTATTAATTCATGTCATATATCTGCCAATGAAACTATGAGCTACAGTGGGGTCTCATAAAATCTGATGCCAGTGTAGTTGTGAGGTGGATGCCTCAAACCATAATTTCTCTTCAAATTCCCCAGGACCAGGAGGGGTACAAAGAAGATGCAATTATGGTATCTACTGAGGAACCATCCTGTTGTTCACATTTATAAATGGATGCCTTCTTATTTAAGAGTTGGAGCCTTATGAAATATAATCAACCTGGTGATTTTTATTCTGCATTTTCTTCTTTCTTGGAATTTTATATCAATATCACCAAGGTAGAAAAAATGCTTTGAAACATACTTTTTATGGTTATTATATTCTTCTTTTGTGCTTCTGCAGTAAGTTGCGATTTGGTTTGCTTCTCAAGGGTGCACTGCATTAAAGTAATTAGAAGCTTTGCACTTTATGATGCTCACTCTTTACAATTGCCTAACTTATTCCTTCGGTTGAGGGTCTAGAGTCATATTCAAATGAAGCATTCCCTATCAAGAAGCATTTGGAATCCACATCAACATGAGGTTGTTGAAGATCAAGTTAGAATGAAGACCAATTAAATTTGCATGAGAAGTGGAAGCATAGTTAATATCAAGTGATACAAGTAGTTACTTCATTTCAAGAATTTGAAGATATGTGACTTTACGAAGTTTCCGTACATATTGTGTAGAAGAGAGGTCAAGGCATTAGAGTGTGGACTGCTAGATGCCTTATGCGGTAGTTGATTGTCTTTTTTGATGGAAACGATAGTAAGTAAATGCCTATCCATCATGAAGATTTTTAGGAAGTCATTAAATGATGACACTGTTGATGGTAAACTTAGCAAGTAGCTGTGTTGTTTTTACCTTTCCCATGTTTGGTTTTGCACTGGCTTTGACCATCCTCACTAATTATGCTTCAAACTTATATTGCAGTGAGCCCAGGGGATTTGCATTTGTGGAGTTCATTGACCCTTATGATGCTGCAGAAGCTCAGTATCAGATGAATCGGCGGCGATTTGGTGGAAGAGAGATAACTGTGGTGGTTGCATCTGAAACAAGGAAAAGGCCTGAGGACATGCGTCACAGATCAAGACATAAGTACTAACATATATTCCCTTTTGTTTACTGCTGTTACTGTATTTATTACTAATAGGTGTGATGTTTAATATTGTATATACTTTATTGTTATTATTTGTTTCACAGTGGGCCTTCTCGTTATGATGATCGGCGATCTTCTGGACATGGTACTTGCTTGATTTCTTGATATTATTTTTGATTGTTGACATTTGGCATCAACTGTCATCTAACTTTTGTCATGGGTGAAATATTCTTTTTGTTACTATCACAACTGTAATTGCTTTATGAATATATTTATGTTTAAGTAGTACTCTAATACTGATTATCTGACTTACTGAGCATTGATTCTTAAATATGAGAATACGCAAGTGTTGGCAACATCTTTTTTTGTCCCTCAAGCATTCAGCAGTGAAAACTAAAATCTTGATTTTGTTTTTTCTTTCTCCTGTTAGAAATAGAATTAAAAATTGATTTAAATGAATTGTTTATGTTGCCTGCGTTTGTTGTACTTTCTCAGTTACCCTTGCATTCCTGAGTTCAGGGATCTTGTTCAAACAGTTGCAAGTCAATGTTTTCTCTCGTGCTGAATTATATACACCTCCATGGGTAAAAATTTTCCAGTTCAATATATCTGTTGGGTTGTTGACATCAAGACCATCTAACCTTGATGAGCATGTTTTAGTCTTTTCTTAGATCCAGACTTGCGTTTTCTCCAAGTTAAGAGTGTGGTATATAGGGATCATGTATTTACCTGTCAGTTGCTATGAAGTTTTGTCTTAATGCAAATTTGAGCTGCTTCTATAGACCAATCTATATATTGGATTGCCTGTGTTAAATATTTTCTATAAAGCTTCATTTAATTTTATAGGCCGCTCACGTTCTCGTTCGAGGTCACGTTCACGTTCTCCTTACCGCCAACCTACTTCTGGAGCCCGGCATACATCTAGGTTTGTTGAAAAGGCTTTCAAAGTTATTAATTCATAGAAATGATGCATAACTAATTTGATAATTGATGTCTCTTCAGGTCATACTCTCCTGCACCAAGACGAGAAGGTGGTTACTCCCCAAGAAGGCAAGATGATTATTCTCCAAGAAGAGAAGGTGATTATTCTCCAAGAAGGCATTCAGACCATGCAAGGTCCCCAAGGGATTATCCAGAAGGACGTGATGAGGACTATAATCGCAGATCACGGTCTCCAGGGTATATCAATGCTAACCAAAATCAACCTGACAATGGTCATGCAGAGTAAGTTTTTGTGAACTCCCTTACATCTCCCTTACATTTTCACCTGCTCTCTCTTTTTCCCCCCTTGAGAGATATATAGAAGAATCAATTATCGACCAGTTATAGACCAACTTCTATTAGCTCAGCATGAATTTCAATCCTTCCGACTTTATTTCTGTATGAAATTTCCATGTCATGAATTTGGTTCCAAATAAACATAAAATATATATATATATATATATATATATATATATATATATATATATATATATATATATAGAGAGAGAGAGAGAGAGAGAGAGTATACATTCATAAATTTATTATTTGTATTAATATAGTTGCGGATATAGAATGTTTTCACAGTGTTTTGGTTGCAAAGGGGGGAGCATTCCCTATTTCAAGTCTAGATTTAGAATTTATTAAAAACCATATGCAGGGGCAAAATCAAAGGAAGGAAAGAAAAAAGGAAACAACATTAGTATGTCAGCAAAATCGTCACACACGCGTACATACTTATTGACACAAGGTCGTGTAATTGGCTGATAGCTATTTAATATGTGGGTAAAAGGGACAAGTTACCTTAATTTTAACAAAAACTCTTTCGATTCCTTCTGATTGCTGTTTTCGCTTTTAGATAGACATAACTAATTTTCCCATCTTATGATGTGTTCTTTTTTTATGATTAGGGTTGTTCCTATATCTTTTTGAGACATTAGTAAGAAAGTTTTGGGTTTAATAAAATTGGAACCTTTGATAATGTTATGGCTATTTTGAGTTTTATCCTAAATATTTTTTTCCTCTTGTGAAATAGATTGCATGGAGCTTAGCGATCGCACATGGTAACTACATCTCTTATATAGCTACTCATCATGATTTTTTCTGAAATTAATGGGATTGGTAAACTTGCTAAGAAGTTAGTGGAGGAAGGATACTTTATATACTTAGGCATACGCTTTGCCTAAGTTAACACTAATCTTGCCTGTAGTAACAAGTGTTGAAAGAGCATTTTCGGTAATGAAAAATATTAAGAATGATCTTTGAAACCTAATAAATATTTGTTGTCTTGCATTGGAAAGGATATATTGAAATCTAATGAATATTTGGTGTCTTATATTGGAAAATATATATTTTGTAAGATATGCAAGGAAGATGTCATGAAAAGGTTTGAAAAGCAAGAAGAATGCTACTGTAAACACTATGTTCTAATTGAAATAGACTTAATTGCACGAATCCCCTATAGTTTCAACTACGTTGCACTTATATACCCTCACTTGTTCTATCAAGCACCTATATACGCTAAAATGTTTAAAACTTTCAATTATGTACCCTCAATTGCTTATGGAAGCACTTGCATGTTTAAAGTTTTTAAAACTTGCACTTAAATATCGTAAGGTTTTTAAATTTTGCACTTAAATATCCTGAAGTTTTTAAAACTGGCACTTAAAAACTTTCAAATGTTTAATTATATGAAATGTTTAATATTGTGTAGATTTCTTTTTGGATTGCATACATAATACTCAAGCCAATCATCACTTTCATACTGAATATCTTCAGACTTTGTGTTGTATTTCATATTGTCATTATGAGTTCAAGCCCTTCATCGCTTTCATACATTTGCAGAAAAGATTTCTATGATGACGATGGGAGGAGACGCTCTATCTCAAGGTCTCCAAGACGTGCTTCACGTTCGCCTTATGGTTCACGATCCAGGTCTGCAGACTTGTCCCCAGGACGCAGCAGATAAAAGGATGATGCGGGTTTTATCTACTTTGTTTCTGCGATGTATTCTGCTATATGTCTTCTGGAGTCCAATGTTCGGACCCGTAGATTTTATAAGTCTGGATCTACCTGTATTTTCAGGTCTTGCAGAACTTTTCTAGTTTCGTATCTGACTCTAGGGTGCCTTCTCTGTCTCTGCAGACTTTTTGAACAATTTTATGTTTAAACTTAATTACAACTTATGTAGTCGTCGTTGGCGGTGATGGTGTGGAGAGGGTGATAGCTCTAGCACCAATGTGGAATCTTATTGTTGCTATGAAATGTGAACTTTGAGGTTAAGATTTGACCAAGATATCTCACGCATCATCTGTTGAGCCGACGCTCGGGCTATTTCTTTGGGAGAGAATATTTTGCTATAAGCTGCTGCTTTTTCTTCTTCTTCTTTAATATATGATATAATTGATGTAAGCAAAATCTGAGCTCTGTCGGTTAGTCTGCAGCTCTCATGTAACTGCAATAGTTATTCCGGAGTGATGTGTTTATCTAGCATAACTGAGCTGAACTTCAATAAAAAAACTGCAGTTTGTATCGCTAAACTCATATTATCTACCTTATTACTTTTTATGGTATGAGCCTTAAAAATAAGTTTGAATGTGCTTGGATACAAATATTTCTTCAAGCTTCCAAATTCAGAGGGTGTTTGGTGAGGTTTATTTTTTGGTCAAACTAGCTTTTACGCTAGCTTTTTCATGTCTATCTGTTTGGTATGATACTAAATAAGTTAGCTTATAAGACTTATTCTTAAAAAGCTCTTATTTTTAAAAGTTGGTACACTCTAGCTATTAAAAAACGAGCTAATAAGGTTGCATAAACACGCTAAGTTTGATCAAATAAATTACTATTTTACCCAAATAATATTTAAGTAAATTTTATTATAAAAGACAAAAGCCATCAAAAGCTAACATAGCTTGAAAGATCAGGCCTCCCCAGACACCCTCTCAGTAAGCAATAGCTAGTTATGAATCTGTTCTTCCAAATCCTCGCCTTTCAGAAGCAATTTACATGATACCTAAAGTAACGCCTAAGCACGTTTCTTTTCTCGACTGCCAACAGAAGCTGGCATGCATCTTCAAGGACGTTTGGGGATATCCTAGTATTTTTTGCTTCAACATTCAACAAGCTGCGCCATCGAAAACAGGCGGAGCTTTGGATGAGTATGAACATTAGCACAACCACATTTACTCCAAGAAAAAAAAAGTGGGGAAAATAACAGAAGAGACCCATCTTTTTTCACGACTCGAAATCATGTTATTTAATTTAATTGTCCTTAAATGACACAAGAGTTCACTGCAGGCTCTCCACGCACACAGATAATACCAAATATCTAGAAGCCAAACCCATCGGCATTGTTTATTTTTACTCTTCCTACATGCTCCAAATTGGACTCCTCCCACGCATGAGAGGGGGAAATGGATGAAAATTGATTGAATTTTAATTTCATCCGCAGCTTTGGCCTCCTCCGCACTTGAGAACTAAACTGCCCTCTTCTCATTCTTCAGAAGTTTATCAGCTGGACTTAGAATCAATAACTTTCTTGGCAAACGAAGGCAAGCAAAATGAAGCAGAATGGATCTAGAAAGGAACAGTACAAAATGGTATGAGCAAACAGGGAGCTCTGAGATAAAGTCAAAAAAGTAATTAAAAGACGCAGAAGTTACCTCTGGATTGTAAAATTTGAGTGGCCCTTTCGTTTTAGAGTTCTCGTCAATGCGGTACACAGGATGCTTAAAGTCCACTGCTGGCCCCTCAGTTGAGCAAAGCATGAAGCCAATAACTCCACTGCATTGATTCGTCCAGAAATAACAATGAGAACAGGTGTTTCTATGGAAACAACAACCACAAAGTGTCGTCCCAACATTTTGGGCCGGCTACACGCATTACATTCTTCCATCCAATTCTGTATATTCCTTCGTAAACTATTATCAATACCCTTTCTAATTGCTACCAATCGCCTAGGCCTACCTTGACCCCAAAACTGGAGAGGCGTTAAGTAATGCAAAGTACCTTCGTCTCTGGGATATTAATTTTGTACAGTAGTCCACTAACTTCACTGCGTTGAATTGTTTACAAAAATATGTTTACAAAGCCATTTTCCCAAATTTTTGGGTCTGGTACATGAATCTTTTTATACCAAAACTTTTTATTCCATTAAGGGCTATACTCTCTGTTAACTATTGTTATATTCTTCTTAATTTCTTCCAACTTACTTTTATAGGCTTACCGATCCCAAAATTAAAGGCAATCAGGAATTAAAAGTACTTTTGTACCTGGGATATGTTGGTACAGTGGTCCATGCATAGTTCACAGATCCTTTGAAGACCTGGCGACAGACGGAAACGATATCTTCGATGATGTGCATGTGAAGCCATATGCTCTCTGCCTGAGTGCATACAACCCCACCTGGACGCAAAGCCTTTGCAACTGATTCAAAAAAGGGCTTCTCAAAAAGTTCTTGGGCCGGACCTGTTTAATCACCAAAAAAATGACTTCTTTTTCTTGAAAAAAGCAAAAAGATCATGGTGATGCTAATGATTAATACCACTTTATATCTTATGTAAACAGCACATTAATTCTTACCTATCGGGTCAGAGGAATCCACTATGATTGCATCGTATGTGCCTTCTGGGGTATTCTTCAAAAATGCAACACCTGCAAATTCTCGTGTTAGGACCTGCTACGGCGGACGTTAAAATTACAAAGGTTCTTGATAAGTGACTTTGATGGGAATCCAGATGAAATATCGCAGATATGCAATTCCAAATGTGTTACCGAAAGTGAACTCTATATGGAAATAAATGGTTAAAGGGTTGAAAAGAGAATTGTAACTGCAGATTAAACTAAATCATCCAAGAGATGGTTCTCTTCATGGTTAATTGCAATCACTTGCAGGAAAGTCATATGGAGGTGAAGTTAAAGAAACTAAGGAACCACTTCCTACTTGTGCTTGGTATATTTGGACTCCATGCAAGAAAGAGTTGAGAAAACACCCACACTGAATTGGGTACGCCAAACCCTTTTCACAAAGTTCATATTTCTCATGAATGGATTCTTGCAGTTCTATAGGCCAGTCATCTAAATCAATACAACTAATAGAGGATTCAGAAAAACAATGTTGCCATCCTCCATTATTTAAACAGGAAAGTTAAAAGGAAAAGTAGAAGAAGAAAAAAGATGTGTTTCTTTATTACCATCACCAACGTGCAGGTTTACACGAGGATCCTCAAAGCCAACAGCCAAAGCAGGGAAGAATTGCTTAGAGACCTGAAAGTGAAAGAGGAAAAAATAAACATAAGAAATCCATCCGTTGAAAACAAAAATACTTGTCACATAAAAGCTACATCATCAGCATATTCAGGTTGTGCTTATAATTTTCATATGCATATATTTTTAAACATAGATTCACCATTCTAAGAAAACTTCAACACACCTTCCTATGACCTAAAAAAAATTGTTGCACAATCTACACCTAATGGAATATTGTAAGTTGCATATTTTATATGTTTAACATCCAACAAGGATAATCTATAAGAGTAAGTGTATGGAACTTCCATAAGCAAAGTGCTATAACATCCCACAGGTACTGGGTGCATCTCCTATAGGTAGAGATTTAAAATGTTAACGTGCCATATAAAAAATGACCAACTAACCAGTTAAGCAGAAGGATTGCAAGATATATACCTATATAAGATATCACTTGACAATAACATGAGAAATGACCATCTAACCAGTTGAACAGAAGGATTGCAAGAAATATGAATGATACTTTAAAGGAAAAATAAGAAGCACAAGTGCAACATGCAAATGTGAGAGCTAAAGTCTACTCACATCTACAACCATCTTATCGATTTCACATATATCAATCTGCTCCACAGAAGAATAACGTGCCACTTCACGCAACACACCACCATCGCCTCCACCAATAACCAATACCTGAAAACAGAGTCTAAGTCAGTCAAAAACATATTTTTATAATTATTCTTCATGACCTTGTGTGGCAAGGTATGAAAAAAACTTTAAAACTGGTTAAAATTTATGAAATTAATACAAGACATTTGCTTAAAAAAGAAAAATCTAATATATTAATGATAAAGGAGAACGTTTTCTTGGACAGACATCAAAGTTCTGATTCAGAAAAACACTGACTATAAAAATGCTTACAAGAAAATAGTTCTTTAGAATGCTTAATTCATGAGCTACAATCCATAAAGTATGTGGAAGGTTGGGGCGATACATCAAGTACACAGACAGGCATCCAATATATATTTCACTTGCATCTGACAACAATTATCGAGTTGTTGCATACTTGCATGTTTGAGCCTGGAATCCACGACTGCTAATTGAGAAATAGGGGCTTCAACTTGAAAAAGTAAAGGTTAGCTAATGCTGGACTGCTCAAAGTAACAGATGGCTAATGGCAAGGAGTTAGAAATGTGAAGAAATGCATCACACGCCTAAGAATGATCATGGACAAAGTTGTCAAATCTAACAGGACGCCCAAAGATAACTGTGATCCCATATTTTGCTATTTTAGAAAAACAAAATTATGTGGTTTTTTCCTTCTATTTTTCATTCTCTGGAAAAAAGGAAAAGTTATGTTTATAGGTGTCTTTTTAAGTTAAATAAATATGAATATCTGATGAATACAAACCTTCTTAGGATCTGGGATGGAGCAAAGAGGAAGATGTGTAATCATCTCTTGGTATGCACACTCATCCCTCTCTGTCACTTGAATGACTCCGTCTAGGACGAGAACCTTGCCATACGTAGATGACTGAAACCATACAATACAAAAATGTTATAATCAGCATAAATAGATAGAAATGCAAGGATTAAAGGGAACTTCATGCTGATTCATTGATAGAATTACCTGAAACACCATCACGTTTTGATAGTCAGATTTTTCCTGGTACAAAATCTTTTCTACCTTCAAGGAGTGAGCTTCTCCTGTTACGAAAACAAAGAAAAAAGGTCAATACTTCTGCATATCCCATTCTTTTTAGAAAATGCACATAAATTTCGAATATCTAAAAATAAGGTACAAGCAGAGGAGGACGTAAAGAAAAGTAGCAGAGGAGGACGTAAAGAAAAGTTTCCGTAACAAATTAGAGTGAACAAGCAGTGATTATAAACAGTGCCGAGTTGCAAGCTTAACATATGTGTAAAGAAATAACTAAAGGTACGGATCATTCAGTCTTAGGAGAATGGTTTAGATTCAACCCAAAGTAACATATCTGAATTTCAATGCTATTTGTATCAATTATACCAAAGATAATGAAACTTGAAGCACCAAGAGAAAATTTATATGCACACCCAATAATAAGTTCCTAAAGTTAAACACGAATAATCCGCACTGAGACCTTACGGAGCTCAGTTTTGGCTGGGTGACAAGTGAAAACAAATTACTGTTGGCGGTTTTCTTCTTTCCTTGACATAACACCTTTATAGTTGACACCATTGCATACTTGCAAGCACATGAGTCTTCAAACAAACTCTGTTTTTCCCCTTCTTTTTTTCTCCTTCTTTTTTTTCCGGGGTGATCTCAAAGACTCAGTACTATATTTAAAATAATTGAGTTACAACAATCTGTCATGTGAAACTATGATCAGACATCATGTCTTATAATTCACTTTTTCTAACTTGAAAATGACAACCCAATGCATCCATCAGGAAAGCTTCTGCTTAAATATAAGCATAATCCACCAATCAATTCAGGAGAATATGAAGGCCTTGTAGTTCTTTATATATTTTTGCACTGTTTCAGTAAGAAACAATTACTCATAAATCTCACAGCCAACAACAAGAACAAACGACTTAGTTTTTATTAAAAAAAAAAAAAAAAGAAAGATATAACGTGCAGCATATTCAAACTCAAAATCAAATCTTAAATAATATCGTGACATTTTAGAAAAGTTCACTAATTTGCAGAGCTGAGAATAAACTCCTCTGCAATCGATTTATAAACTTATTTTATAGTAATAATACTAAATTTATTGTACACCTTAGCATACTCAAACTAGGATAGCTGACATTTTCAGTTTTCTAAAATTTACCAGAAGCTGATTTTGTCTCAAAATTCCCAAAAAGAAAAGGGGGGGAAAACTTTGCGACCCACTAGAAAGCTTTTTTTAGTTGTGGAATCTTTTAGCCCAAAAGAATATGGTCATAAAATTTCCCCCAGCGTTTGTACATAAAAAATAAGTTAATTAATTTCTAGAATTGAGACTAGCTTTTCCCAAATATCATTAGATGCCGGTTAAAAAAAATGTTTTCTTTACTTACAGCAACAGAGAAAAAAATCAAAATATAACCAAATATCGAGAAAAAAAACTATAAAAACGTGAATAAATCATTACAAATTTAAGAAAAAGAGGAGATTGAAACCTGGCCACATGGGGCTCATCTCAGAGAACCACCCAGGGATTATCGAAGACACGCCATTTTCTGCCATTACTCTCTCTCTCTCTCTCTCTCTCTCTCTCACCACCTCCACAAAAGAAAAAAAAAGGAGGCTCCTTGAAAAAAGGTGAGATTTTTAGGGTTTTGGTTATAGGGAGCGTTTTATATACGAATCAGGAGTTTATAAAAGGGAGCCAATAAACTTTGGGGGCCGCATATCTTTGAGATTCGTGCTGGGTTATAAGATTGTGATAATCATGACTGGATCATTGCGAGGCCAGCCGCTTATTAAAAAGTCCCGGCCTGTATCTCCCAACCTGAACGTAAATTACGAAAGTACCCTCTTATTTTTTTATTTCCTTTTTGCTTTTATGTACCTTTTTTATTTTTAATTTGGAAAAAATGTGTCTAGGCCCCATAATGAGAAAGTTCATGTGACCTGCCCCTTGTATTTTGACTCATGTGATTCAGCCCCAAAAAGTACCAATTAATATTTCAAGGCCCCTCCACGTCAGCAGTATAAAAAAAAAAGATTGTATTTTGAAAAAAAACCCGAAATTACCCCTCCACTTATCTTCCCCAGACGTCTAGTCCACAAAATACATGGAAAGTCACGCCCATTAATGTGATCTGATGGAAAAAAATAGAGGGAAATTTTCCACCCTTTTTTGAACTCTATCATGAGCAATAACTCATATTAGTTCTAAGTTATTTAATGTTAGTTCTAAGTTATTTAATGTTAGTTCTAACTTATTTTATGTTAGTTCTAACTTAGTTCTATTTAATATTAGAGCTAATGTTAAGTAGAACTAATATAAATACTTTAGGCTATTTGGTCTAGTGGTAAACCTTATTTCATATTAGTTCTAACTTATTTTATGTTAGTTCTAACTTAGTTCTAATTCATGTTAGAGCTAACTTTAAGTAGAACTAATATGTTTATACCATGTTATAGTGGCTATGTTAGTTCTAGTTGAGCTCATGTTAGTTCTGGTGGTTCTCGTGTTAGTTCTAGCTGATTTTATGTTAGTTCTACTTCCAGCTAGTGTTGGTTCTAATATAAGCGTTAGTTCTAGTGGTTATATTAGTTCTAGTTGAGCTCCTGTTAGAACTGACACGATACCTGTTAGAATTGATATTAGAGAAGCTAGAACTAACACATCATCAAGTAGAACTAATATGGCGTTTAGACCTAACAATTACGCTAGAACTAACAGCTTAAATAAATTAGAACTAACACGATACCAATTAGAACTAACACTAGAGAAGTTAGAACTAACACATCATTAAGTAGAACTAATATGGCGTTTAGACCCAACAATTATGTAGAACTAACGACTTAAATAAATTACAACTAACACGATATCTGTTAGAACTAACACTAGAGAAGGTAGAACTAACACGGCATAAATTAGAACTAACATCGCGTTTAGACCCAACACTTACGCTAGAACTAACACATTAAATAAATTAGAACTAACATGATACCAAATAGAACTAACATTAGAGAAGCTAGAACTAACACATCATCAAGTAGAACTAACATGGTGTTTAGACCAACAAGTACGCTAGAAATAACGCATTACATAAATTAGAGCTATCACGATACCAGTTAGAACTAACACTGGAGAAGGTAGAACTAATATAGCATAAATTAGAACTAACATGACGTTTAGACCCAACACTTATGCTAGGAATATCACATTAAATAAATTAGAACTAACATGATACATGTTAGAACTGACACTGGAGAAGCTAGAACTAACACATCATCAAGTAGAACTAACATGGCGTTTAGAACCAACAATTACGCTAGAACTAACGACTTAAATAAATTAGAACTAACAAGATATCTGTTAGAACTAACACTGGAGAAGCTAGAACTAATATGGCATAAATTGGAACTAACATGACGTTTATACCCAACATTTACGCTAGAACTAACGCATTAAATAAATTAGAACTAACACGAGCTGGCAAAAATTAGAACTAACATGAGCTGGTAAAAATTAGAACTAACATGAGTTGCGATAGAACAAACATGAGCTAACTCTAGTTATTTATGTCATTTTTTAAATTCTATCATGAGCTAACTCATGTTAGTTCTAACTTATTTCAAGTTAGTTCTAACTTATTTCATGTTAGTTCTAATGCCAAGTAAGAGCTAACTTTGAGTGGAACTAACATTAATACTTTGGCTACTTGGTCTAATGGTAAAGCTTGGTAATTTGAAGAGGATGTAAAGAGTTCAAACCCCTACACCTACAAATATATATTTAAAAGTCTTTGATTGGGCCTTGGGCCTTGGCCCTCTTGGGCTCTTTGTTAGTTCTAACTAATTTTATGTTGGTTCCAACTTGCTCTTTGTTAGTTCTAACTCACTTAAAGTTAGTTCTAACTTGCTTTTTGTTAGTTCTAATTTGCTCTTTGTTAGTTTTAACTTGCTCTTTGTTAGTTCTAACTCACTTAAAGTTAGTTCTAACTTGCTCTTTGTTAGTTCTAACTCACTTCATGTTAGTTCTAGTTCTAATTCATGTTAGTTCTAACTCATTCTTTGTCTAACTCATTGCATGTTAGTTCTAGTTCTAATTCATGTTAGTTCTAACTCACTGCATGTTAGTTCTAGTTCTAATTCATGTTAGTTTTAGGCTCTTGTGCTTTTTGTTAGTTCTAACTCATTTTATGTTGATTGTAACTCACTTCATATTAGCTCTAGTTCTAATTCATGTAGTTACTTTCACCAACATAAAATCTATAGACAATTGGGAGTACACAAGCTCATACATGATATAGTTACTTTCACCATCATTCTCAAGGGAATGGCTGTGCAAGGAATGTTGAAGGAAGCAGCAATAAATTTCTTTCAAATACTAAAGAGGGGAATTATGCCAGATGTCGTAGCATACTGCAGTTTGGTCGATTGCTTGTGCAAGCATGGCAATCTAATTGCTAGGTTTAAACTTTATAGAATGATGCTTTAAAATGGTGTTCATCCTGATATTGTTGTTTATAATGTTCTCATAAAGAAGGTAGAACGGACTGTAGGCATATAAAATTACTTATAGGTCCCTTAGTATAGCTCGGCACAAATCGACGAATCAGCAAGGCAACGAAGCGTACGCAAAACAAAGAAGCTGGAAGAATCACGAAACATTGCTTAGAAGCTTGAACAGTTCCGAGTCACCAGAAGCTGACTCGCACAGTTCCGAGTCACCAGAAGCTGACTCGCACAGTTCCGAGTCACCAGAAGCTGACTCGCACAGTTCCGAGTCACCAAATGCTGACTCGCACAGTCCCGAGTCACCAGGACTCTTGTTGGATACAAAACCTCCCCAAACACGGATTTCAATGATTTTTAAGGATTCTTTCGTCCCAAAACCTCTCCAACTGCTCTGAGGTTATCCATAAACACGTTTAGACAGTTATAAACCGCAGATAACGTTTAAACATCAATTCCTACTAGGAGACACATCTCAAAAAGCCTATAAATAGAAGCCTAAGGTCTTCTTTCAAGGGGATCAGAGATCTGAGATTAAGAAGGCGAGGTGCTGTCAAATTGACCAGTCAACCACGAATTTCAGAGGAGAATCATCAGAGCTTGGCGAACACTTCCATAAAAAAAGCACATTCGAAAGGTTTGTGATTCTCTTCCCTTCTTTCCTCCGGATTAAACTTGGTTTTAATCTCGAGAAGAGCCACAATCTCGCTTGGTCGTGATTGTCGCTTCCGCAATTGTTTCCTTCGTGAAACAAGAGCGTAATTATATTGTCAATCGGCTTTGGTCTGCGGTGGTCCACGGACTAACGCGTCCCCGGCACAGGCAAAGATCCCACGCAAAGCAGCGGGAGATAAACTACTGCTGCGTTTTGTTTGATAAAGTTGTAATCTTTATTTTTCGTTGTAAGAAGATCTTATAAAAAGATCAACTCTCTTTTCAGTTTGAACTTGTAATCGATAAACGGTGTAACAGGTTTGAAAATAATGAAAAAAGCAACTTTTGACACAAACACGGACAGAACTAACATGACAGCGAACAGAACTAACGTAGGAGATAACAAAACTACCATGAAAGCGGGTAGAACTAACGTAAGATATGATAGAACAAACATTAAAGCTGGTAGAACTAACAGTCCAGTCCTTAGAACTAACAGTCCAGTCCTTAGAACTAACAGTCCAGTCTTTAGAACTAACAGTTCAGCCCTTAGAACTAACATTCCAGCCCTTAGAACTAACATGACAGAGCTTAGAACTAACATTCATAGTTCTAATTTTCCTTGTCCCCCCTTTCAAATTCACAAGTTCTTAGATTCTTTAGTCGACTTTTAATCACATTGTCTTCAATTTTTAGCTAAATGTCACTATGTCTGAAGATTCAATGTGAGCTTTTGAAAATTTCTGCTGTTAATCTCTTATACAGAACTATGTCAATCACCAAATCACACAAGAAAAAGACATTAAAGGAAAACCCAAACCGTTGTTCAAGAATCCAAGGAGATCCCATTTCAATTAAATGAAAGAGAAAAACTACAAAAACCCAATATCGATTCCCTTCATAAATTACAAGAAAACAAGAGCACTATCTTGGTTAAGACATTGATTTGGGTAAAGATATTCCGTAACTTAGAAAGGGGAGAACAACGATGCATCGGACCAAAGCTCCGGGCTCCGTCAGCTCGCGGGTCCCACCGGACCATGTTCCGTGTTTGTCGTTGAACCCGCGTTCACGAGCTGTTTCCAAGATGACTCCCCGACCTCCGACTCCATGACCACCGTCCTCGCCTTCGCCTTCCACGACCTCCCCAGGGTCTGATCATTTTCAGTGGTCATGACGGAAGAGAGAGAGAGAGAGAAGTGGAGAGAGAGAGAGAGAGAGAGAGAGAGAGAGAGAGAGAGAGAGAGAGAGATGGGATGGGGTTAAAGGGATGGGCGCAGTTACCAAGCTCAATCAAATCAAAGGGTAAATTTGTAACTTTTGTTGGGCTTTTCTCAGGGTCCGATACTTTGGGGCCTTAACACAAATACAGTGTGTATTTGGGGCTTATACACATGAGTCAGAATACAAGGGGGCGGGTCACATGAACTTTCTACTTTTGAGGCATGGACACATTTTTCCCTTTTAATTTTTAAGTTGTGATGCATGCATGTAATTTTTTAAATGATAATTCAAGATGCATGTATGGTATTTTGTTGACAACCTGTACATTAGTTGGAGTTCAGGAAGGGCTATCCAAATAG